TCCCAGCACTTTGGGAAGCCGAGGCGGGCATATCACCTAACGTCAGGAGTTCGAGACCAGCCTGGCTCTCCTGATGAAGCCCCGTGTCTACTATAAATGCAAAAATCATCTGGGTGTGGTGGCGTGCGGCTGTAGTCCCAGCTACTCAGGAGGCTGAGGCAGGAGAATCGCTCGAACCCTGGAGGCGGAGGTTGCAGTGAGCCAAGATTGAACCACTGCACTTCAGCCTGGGCAACAGAATGAGACTCCGTCTCAAAAAAAAATAAGTATTTCTAAGGCATCACTATTAAACGTGGAACATATTTACAGGGACATAACTGGAAACAGCCAGTTTTCTAAGCTTCTGGTGATTGAGCTTATGAGGGACAGAGAGAGAGAGGGACATTTCTCAGTGTACCAGTTATGGGATCGATTTTTATCACTGCGTCCTGTGATATCACTAAAACGTTCCTCTAAGCTGCTGGAACCAAGATGCAAAGAATTTAACATGCTTAGCACACTGCAGACCTTTCACTACATGTAAGGAAAATTCTTCGTAGCTTGGTAAATTTGTGAAATTGCTTTTGCGAATGTGTTTTATGATTTGAGACTCATCACGAAGACCACATGTGGCCGGGCACGATGGCTCACGCCCGTAATGGAGCACTTTAGGAGGTCTGGGCGGATGGATCACCTGAGGTCAGGAGTTCGAGACCAGCCTGGCTAACATGGTAAAACTCCCATCTCTACTGAAAATACAAAAAAATCAGCTCGGCATGGTGGCATGTGCCTGTAATCCCAGCTACTCTGGAGACTGAGGCACGAGAATTGCTTGAACTCGGGAGGCAGAGGTTGTGCCACTGCATTCCAGCCTGGGTGAGAATCTAAAAAACAAAGACCACAGGTGACTCATGCCTGTAATCTCAGCACGTTGGGAGACTGATGTGGGTGGTTAACTTGAGGTCAGGAGTTGGAGATCAGCCTGCCAACATGGCAAAACTCTAGTCTTTGCTAAAAATACAAAAAAAATTAGCTGGGTGTGGTGCAGTCACTTGCAGTCCTGGGCTATTCGGGAGGCTGAGGCAGGAGAATCGCTTGAACCGGGCAGGTGGTGGTTGCAGTGAGCCAAGATCGCGCCACTGCACTCCAGCCTGGTGACACAGTGAGACCCTGTTTCAAAAAAGACAAAAAAGCACTTTGGGAGGCTGAGGCGGGCAGATGATGAGGTCAAGACAGAGATCATCCTGACCAAGATGGTGAAACCCCATCTCTACTAAATATACAAACATTAGCTGGGCGTGGTGTTGGGCTCCTGTAATCCCATCTACTCAGGAGGCTGAGGCAGGAGAATCGCTTGAACCCAGGAGAACGCACGGAGTGGGACGCGGAACCCGGGGCATGTGGGATGCGGAACATGGGGCATGTGGAACGCGGAACCCGGGGAATGTGGGACGGGGAACCCAGGGAATGTGGAACGTGGAACCCGGGGCATGTGGGAAGGGGAATCCTGGAGAATGTGGAACGGGGGAACACCGGGAATGTGGGTCAGGGAACTCGGGGAATGTGGGAAGGGGAATCCGGGGAATGTGGGACGCGGAACCTGGGGAATGTGGGACGCAGAACCCGGGGAATGCGGGACGGAGAACTTGGGACATGAGGGATGGGAAGCCTCATGGGGCATGGGGGCAGGGGAACCCTGGGAATTTGGGACGTGGAACCAGGGAATGCGGGAAGGGGAATCCCGGGAATGTGAGATGCGGAATCTGGGGAATGTGGGATGGGGAGCCCCGGAAATGTGGGACACGGAACCCCAGGAATGTGGAACGAAGAACCTGGGGAATGCGGGAAGGGGAACCCGGGAACGTGGGATGGGGAACCCCGGAGAATATGGGAAGGGGAACCCCGGAAATTTGGGATGCGGAATCCGAGGCATGTGAGACGGGGACCCCAGGGAATGTGGGACTCTGAACTCGGGGCATGTGGAATGCGGAACCCCGGAAATGTGGGATACGAAACCCGGGGCATGTGGGACAGGGAACACGGGCAATGTGGGACGGGGAACACGGGGAATGTGGAAAGGGGAACCCCGGAAATATCGGTGTGGTGGCAGGCATCTGCAGTCCCGGGCCACTCGGGAGGCTGAGGCAGGAGAATCGGTTGAACCCAGGAGAACGCACGGAGTGGGACGCAGAACCCAGGGCATGTGGGACGGGGAACCCTGGAGAATATGGAACCGGGAACCCGGGGAATGTGGGACACGGAACCCGGGGAATGTGGGACGGGGAACACAGGGAACCCGGGGCATGTGGGACGGGGAACACAGGGAACCCGGGGCATGTGGGATGGGGAACCCCGGAAATGTCAAAAGGGGAACCTCGGAAATTTTGGACGCGGAACCTGCGGCATGTGAGACGGGGACCCCAGGGAATGTGGGACTCCGAACCCAGGGCATGTGGAATGCGGAACCCTGGAAATGTGGGATACGAAACCCGGGGCATGTGGGACGGGGAACACGGGGAATGTGGGACACGGAACCCAGGGAATGTGGGACGGGGAACACGGGGAATGTGAGTGTGGTGACAGACACCTGCAGTCCCGGGCCACTCGGGAGACTGAGGCAGGAGAATCGCTTGAACCCACGAGGCGGAGGTTGCAGTGAGCCGAGATGGCGCCATTGCACTCCAGCCTGGCGAGAGAGCCAGACTTCGTCTCAAAAACAAACAGAGAAACAAAGGAGACCAGATGAACAAGTGACGTTGAACTGGTGGGAGGCCCAGTCACGTGGGGCATCCAGCCGCATTAGCAATTCCGCTGAGATGTGCTGAATGCTTAATCGGGTGAATCACATCCATGGTTTTTCTCGTATTATAAAAAATAATTATTGAGGTTGAAAGGATAAGGGGAAACAGCCATGAGGGCACATCAATCCCCACCCCCCAAAAAGCTGATATGAGCTACGTTAATATCAGAGGAAAATCTTGTGTTCCTTTGATTAAGCAAATGGGCTTCCTGCCTCATATCCACAGGGGCGAAGACGGAGGCACCGGCTTCTCAGAAAGACCGTTTCTTTTTTTCCGGTATTTCTTTTATCGCAAGGCTGGAGAGCAAAAACACAGAGGTCAGGCTCAAATCTGTCTCCGGATTTGGGGTCGGAGACAAGCCTTGTTCTGTTTTTTTCCTTTTGGAATCGGGGTCTCACTCTGTTGCCCAGGCTAGAGGGCCGTGCAGTGAACCTGGCTCACCGCCGCTCCGACCTTGTGGACTCAAGCAATCCTCTTACCTAACCCTCCGCAGGAACTGGGACCACAAATACTTCCTCCTACACCCAGCTAATTTTTTAAAAAGTTTTTTGTAGAGGTGGGGTCTTGCTCTGTTGCCCAAGCTGGTCTCAAACTTCTGAGGTCAATGGGTCCTATTGCCTTGGCTTCCCAAGGTTCTGGGAATATAGGCATGAGAATCACTTGAGGCCAGGAGTTCAAGGCCAGCCAGGGTAGCATAAACTAGACCCCATCTCTACAAAGAAATTGAAATTAGCTGGGCGTGGTGATACGCACCTGTTTTCCCAGCTGACCTGGAGGCTGAGGCAGGAAGATCACTTGAGCCCAAGAGTTTGAGGCTACAGTGAGGTATGATTGCACCACTGTACTCCAGCCTGGGCAAGGGAGAGACACTGTCTCAAAAATAAGAAAATTTTTTATCACATGTGCCATGTAAATAGGTACAATCATTATATATTTATAATAATTAGAACTTCAAAATTTAAAAAAATTAAGAACTCCCCCTTTCAAAAATTCATAACATAGTCCTGGCACTGTGGTTCATGCCTGTAACCCCAGCACTTTGGGAGGTCTAAATCACTGGATCGCCTGAGGTCAGGTGTTCGAGACCAGCCTGCGTAACCTGGTGAAACCTCATGTCTACTAAAAATAGAGAAATTAGCCAGGTGTGATGGCGAGTGCCTGTACTCTCAGCTACTTGGGAGGCTGAGGGAAGAGAATCACTTGAAAACAGGAGGTGGAGATTGTGGTGAGCCGAGATTGTACCGTTGCACTCCAGCCTGGGCGACAGACTGAGATTCTATCTCAAAAAAAAAAAAAAAAAAAAAAAATAGTAACACAAATTAACATCTCTGGCTGGGCACGGTGGCTCACGCCTGTAATCCCAGAACTTTGGGAGGCTGAGGCGGGTGGATCACCAGGTCAGGAATTCAAGACCAGCCTAACTAACCTGGTGAAAGCCCGGCTTTACTAAAAATACAAAAATTAGCTGGGCGTGGTGGCACACGCCTGTAATCCCAGGTACTCGGGAGGCTGAGGCAAGAGAATTGCTTGAACACAGGAAGCAGAGGTTGCAGTGAGCTGAGGTCACACCACTGCACTCCAGCCTGGGCGACAGAGTGAGACTCTATCTCAAAAAAAAAAAAAAAAAAAGTAAAGTAAAATAATAACATCTCTGGCAGGCTGAGGTGGGTGGATCATGAGGTCAGGAGTTTGCGACCAGCCTGGCTAACATAGTGAAACCCTGTCTCTACTAAAAATACAAAAGTTAGCTGGCAGTTGTGGCATGTGCCTGTAATCCCAGCTACTCAGGAGGCTGAGGCAGGAGAATCTCTTGAACCTGGGAGGAGGAGGTTCCAGTGAGCCAGATCATGCCACTGCATTCCAGCCTGGGCGACAGAGCGAGACTCCATCTCAAAAAAATAGAACATGGTTATTTTCTGATGATATGCTAAACAAGGGGTGGGTTATTCACGACTGGGTGGACAGAGTGAGCCTCTAAAAATAAATTAGTAACATAATTTAACATCTCTGACCCCGGTACAGTTAAGGAATGAGTTTGTAATAGACGAACTAGAAAAATACACATGCATTGGAACACTGGGCAAGAGACTATGCGACCACACGTGGGTCCAGGGGAGGTGGCTGCCTGTAGACGTGGCCGAAGCCACGGATGCCGTCAGGATGAAGCGTTCAGGCGTGAATGCCATCAGCCTCTTACACCTTATCCTGTTTGCCCCGAAGTGCCTGCTACTCACCCCACGGAGCCTACGCCCAGAGCAAGCTGGCCCTCGTCCTCTTCACCTACCACCTGCAGCGGCTGCTGGAGGCCACGGGGAGCCACGTGACGGCCAATGTTGTGGACCCCGGCGTGGTCGACACGGACCTCTACAGACATGTATTCTGGGGTACACGTCTGGTGAAGAAGCTTCTCAGCTGGCTGCTTTTCAAGGTAAGGCGCTTCAGCTTCTGTGCTTTCATGGCTACACCTAAAGCTGTTTACGGGAAATAGGAGCTCCCCATGCAGACCCCAAGACAGGGTTCTTGGATCTCAGGGAGTCCGCAGTGCAAAATGAAAGCAAGTTTATCAAGAAAATAATAGGCCGGGCAGGGTGGCTCACGCCTGTCATCCCAGCACTTTGGGAGGCGAAGGTGGGTGGATCATGAGGTCAGGAGTTCGAGAGCAGCCTGGCCAGCATGGTGAAACCCCATCTCTGCTAAAAAATACAAAAATTAGCCAGGCGTGGTGGCAGGTGCCTGTAAGCCCAGCTATTCAGGAGGCTGAGGCACAGAATTGCTTGAACCCAGGAGGTAGAGGTTGCAGTGAGCAGAGATCGCATTACTGCACTTGAGTCTGGGTGACAGAGCAAGACTCCTTCTCAAAAAGAAAGAAAAAAGATAAAATAAGTGAATAAAGAATGGTGATTCCATAGACAGAGCAGCCCTGAGGGCAGCTGGTTGCCCATTTTTATGGTTATTCCTTGATGATATGCTAAATAAGGGGTGGGTTTCTCATGCCTCCCCTTTCTAGACCATGCAGGGTGGCTTCCTGACGTCGCCATGGCGTTTACAAACTGTCATGGCTCTGGTGAGAGCGTCGCAGTGAGGATGACCGGAGGTCCCTCTTGTCACCATCTTGGTGCTGCTGGGTTCTGGCTGGCTCCGTTACTGCAGGCTGTTTTGTCAGCAGGGTCTTTGTGACCTGTATCTTGTGCTGACCCCTTATCTCATCCTCTGCCTTAGAATGCCTTCACCATCTGGGAATGGAGCCCAGTAGGGCTCAGCCTCAGTTTACCCAGCCCCTACTGAAGATGGAGTCACTCTGGTTCACACACCTCTGACACAGCCACTTCCAGGCAGCACGTGTGGGGTGCTGGGTGCATAGATTCAGGGATTTATTTCTACATTCTCACCCCAAAACCCTGATTGTCTGCAAGCTTGGTAGGTGACCCCATGTCGCTGCGTAGTGGCCATAAATGAATCTTCTTAGGAGATGCAGACCCTTCGTCGATGCTATGGTAGGGCCAACGGAAAAACGTCCTCCTTTGCCCTCCAAAGGTTTGCCGAAAAATCAACTCACAAAATACAGTTTCCTTTATTCCAAGATGAATAAAGGAAAGGTCACAAAAACGTATTCTCATATGCGGAGGAGAAAGACAGAGGGATTGCCCCATCACACCGGGGGTATGTACTCTTCTTTTTAGGGGACAGGGAGTGGGGAATTGGGGTGAATTTAGGGGAACGGTAAATGGTTTTGAAGGGAAGTGAATGGGTTGGAAGCATGTACAGTGGTCCGTGACACAGGCGGTTGAACCACAGAACAGACAGTGGTTTCTGAGGCATTTGTACACAGCTGTTGACAGATGCCGTCTTCCCTCCTGCGATACGGGTTCAGAAACACAGGGAAGGGGTCCCGGGTCCTTCCTCCTCCTTTGGTGGGTCCAGACATTGGGGAATTTCAGAGAAGAGTTTTACCCTGTGCCTTGGGAGACACAGAAATCAAGGGGGTGTCAAGATCACTACCTGTGGCTGTCTGTCCTGCAGACCTTAACTTAGTGACGGTTGAATAAAGTACATTGACACACAGATATTATATTTTGGCCAATTCAACCGAGGGACTGGTTGGCTTACAGACTCCTTGGGGAATTCTGTAAAGACATAGCAGCCGGCTCCAACCAGCCACTGAGACTTGCATTTATCCAGTACAGTTTAGCTGGCAAATGCTTGAGTACAGACAAGCAGAGGTTAAAGATCGAAGGACAGGTTCTGATGCCCAAAGCAAACACCCTTAGTGGGTAACATCTCAGGTTCACCTCCCCGCCATTGAGAGGCCATCCAGCTCAAAGGTTAGTTTTAAGACCACATGCGGCCGGACATGGTGGCTCACGCTTGCAATCCCAGCACTTTGGGAGGCCGAGGCAGGCAGATCATGAGGTCAAGAGACCGAGACCATCCTGGCCAACATGGTGAAACCCCGTCTCTACTAAAAATACAAAAATTTGCTGGGCATGGTGGCACACGCCTGAGGTCCCAGCTACTTGGGTGGCTGAGGTGGAAGAATCACTTGAACCCAGGAGGCAGAGGTTGCAGTGAGCCGAGATTGCACCATTGCACTCCAGCCTGGTGACAGAGCAAGACTCCATCTCAAAAAAACAAAACAAAACAAAACACATGAGTAAACAAGCTAGCTAAGTAAACTACTCACATTCCTTTCTATTTGTGCCCCAATTGAGACTTTCATCACCACATGCACAGGTCTGTCCTGCAGACCCTGACTTAATGACAGGTGAATGAAATACACTCCCACACCCATTCGGTGATGAGAATGGGCTACGGATGGTCCTGAACTGCTTTCCAAGGGCGATTGCAGCTAATCGACTACCACTGGCTGCTCCTCCTCACATTTATTCAGTATTGATTTAATAACAGAGGTTCTAAGTCAACATGTTTGTAGATAATTACCACGGTTAAAAGAGCCAAAAGGATGTGGGATAAACAAAGTTAACTGGGGAAGCTTTTATTGTCTGTAATGTCTTTTCCCATGACGTAAAGCTCTAATATCTGAACTGGCTGCCTTCAGCACGTTCTTCAGCCTTCTGTTTACAATGGCAAACACTTGGAACCAACCCAAATGCCCATCAAGGATAGACTGGATAAAGAAAATGTGGCACATAGACACCATGGAATACTATGCAGCCATCAAAAAGGATGAGTTCATGTCCTTTGCAGGAACATGGATGAAACTACAAACCATCATTCTCATCAAACTGACACAAGAACAGAAAACCAAACACCGCATGTTATCACTCATAAGTGGGTGTTGAACAATGAGAACTCAGGGACACAGAGAGGGGAACATCACACATTGTGGCCTGTTGGGGGGTAGGTGGGTTAGGGGAGGGATAGCAGGGCATGGGGGAGTTGCGGAGGGAGAGCATTAGGAGAAATACATAATGTAGATGACGGGGGGATGGATGCAGCAAACCACCATGGCACATGTGTACCTATGTAACAATCCTGCATGATCTCCAATGTACCCCAGAACTTAAAGCATAATTTTAAAACATGAAAAAAAGAAACCCATCGGCCTTCCAAAAGGTTCAAGACTATAATCTTAAAACATTCCCTAATATTTCCCTAATATTTTGCCAGACACCTCGAGTGAATCCCAACACCTAATCTCTCTGGCTTCTGCCAAGAGACTCTGGCTGCCTTCAGCCAGGAACTACGGAAAACAACCCTTAGGCCTTGCCTTCCAAAAGGGTTCCAGACTATATTCTATAACGTTCTCTACTATTTCTCCCTTAATATTTTTGCCACCACCCTGAGTGAATTCCCACAGAGGGACAGGTCTGGGGCAACGACTCATACCCCAGCTATTCCCTTCCGTTTTTTGGATGTTGTTCTTTTGTTTGTTTTTGAGATGGAGTCTTGCTCTGTCATCTAGGCTGGAGTGCAGTGGCGTGATCTTGGCTCACTGCAACCTCCACCCCCTGGGTTCAAGCTTTCTTTTCTTTTTTCTCCCTCCACCTCTCCCCTCTCCCCTCTCCTCCCTTCCGCACCCTTCCCCTCCCCTGCCCTCCTCCTCTCCTCTCTTTTCCCTTCCTTCCCTCCTTCCTTCCTTTTCTCCCTCCCTCCCTTCCTTCCTTCCTTCCCTCCTTCCTTCCTTTTCTCCCTCCCTTCCTCCCTCCCTTCCTCCCTTCCTTCCTTCCTTCCTTCCTTCCTTCCCTCCTTCCTTCCTTTTCTCCCTCCCTCCCTCCCTTCCTTTTCTCCCTCCCTCCCTCCCTCCCTTCCTTCCTTCCTTCCTTCCCTCCTTGCTTCCTTTTCTCCCTCCCTCCCTCCCTCCCTTCCTTTTCTCCCTTCCTTCCTTCCTTCCTTCCTTCCTTCCTTCCCTCCTTCCTTCCTTTTCTCCCTCCCTCCCTTCCTCCCTTCCTTCCTTCCTTCCTTCCTTCCTTCCCTCCTTCCTTCCTTTTCTCCCTCCCTCCCTCTCTTCCTTCCTTCCTTCCCTCCTTCCTTCCTTTTCTCCCTCCCTCCCTCCCTCCCTCCCTCCCTCCCTCCCTTCCTTCCTTCCTTCCCTCCTTCCTTCCTTTTCTCCCTCCCTCCCTCCCTCCCTCCCTTCCTTCCTCCCTTCCTTCCTTCCTTCCCTCCTTCCTTCCTTTTCTCCCTCCCTTCCTTCCTTCCTTCCTTCCTTCCTTCCTTCCTTCCCTTTCTCCCTCCCTCCCTCCCTCCCTTCCTTCCTTCCTTCCTTTCTTTTCCCTCCGTCCCTTCCTTCCTTTCTTTTCCCTCCGTCCCTCCCTTCCTTCCTTCCCTCCTTCCTTCCTTTTCTCCCTCCCTCCCTCCCTCCCTCCCTTCCTTCCCTCCTTCCTTCCTTTCTTTTCCCTCCCTCCCTCCCTCCCTCCCTTCCTTCCTTCCTTCCTTTCTTTTCTCTCCGTCCCTCCCTTCCTTCCTTCCTTCCTTCCTTCCTTCCTTCCCTCCTTCCTTCCCTCCTTCCTTTTCTCCCTCCCTCCCTCCCTCCCTTCCTCCCTTCCTTCCTTCCTTCCCTCCTTCCTTCCTTTTCTCCCTCCCTCCCTCCCTCCCTCCCTTCCTTCCTTCCTTCCCTCCTTCCTTCCTTTCTTTTCCCTCCCTCCCTCCCTCCCTTCCTTCCTTCCTTCCTTCCTTTCTTTTCCCTCCGTCCCTCCCTTCCTTCTTTTCTTCCTTCTCTGACAGAGTTTTGCTCTCGTCACTCAGGCTGGGATGCAGTGGTGCTGTCTCGGCTCACTACAATGTCCAACTCCCAGGTTCAAGCAATTCTGCCTCAGCCTCCCAAGTAGCTGGGATTACAGGCGTGTCCCACCATGCCTGGCTAGTTTATGTATTTTTAGTAAAGACAGGGTTTCACCACGTTGGCCAGGCTGGTCTTGAACTCCTGACCTCAAGTGATCTGCCCACCTCGGTCTCCCAAAGTGCTAGGATGACAGTCAACAGTCACGGTGCCCATCCCCATTGAGGTCTTCTGCAGTGATATTTCTCTGGGAGCTATGGATTTGTTTTCTTTCCTGTCTATCTCAAGCTGGGATACTGAAGTTTTCATCATTTGTTTACAAGAGAAAAGAAAGAACCTTGAGAAGTTCTTCTGTTTTCCCCATTACATTGCAGAACCGTCTAAGTGTCGTTTTTTGAAGTGTCTGCTTTTGAAACACTGCCACAGTTCGCCTTGGAAACCGCGTGGGCCAGGGAATTTTCGGAAGAGCGATTCTCACTCAGCTTTCAACATTTCTCGAACGTGTATTGCTTTGTTGAAGTTTCTGCCTCTTTGTGAGTCAGTTGAGCCTGCTTTTCTCTTTAGATAACTGCTCCATCACGGTTTGGGGTTAATGAGCGTGCCTACAAATTCCCTTTTCTTCCCATTGGACTGCCTGCCTTTGCTCTCGGTTTCATCTCAAAGTCTCTTACGGAATCAGCTGTTCTTTGAATCTCTAATTCCTCAAGCAAAGAAATTTCAAAATATTAGTTTTTTGGGGGTTTTCTTGAGACAGAGTTTCACTATTGTTTTCCAGGCTGGAGTGCAGTGGTGCAATCTCGGCTCACCACAACCTCTGCCTCCCAGGGTCAAGCGATTCTCCTGCCTCAGCCTCCTGAGTAGCTGGGACAACAGGCGTGTGCAACCACGCCTGGCTGATTTTGGTATTGTTAGTAGAGACGGGGTTTCACCATGTTGACCAGGCTGGTCTTGAACTCCTGACTGCAGGTGATACACCTCCCTGTGCCTCCCGAAGTGCTGGGATTACAGGCGTGAGTCACCTCACCCGGCCTGCCTCTCTGAATGCACCTGGTCTGATCTGAAGCAGAGTTAACTCTGGTTAGTGTTTAGATGAGGCATCATCTGGGAAAACCTGGGTGATTTCTACTCTATTCTGTTATTTTATTTTATTTTATATTGAAACAGAGTTTCACTCTGTCGCCCAGGCTGGAGTGCAGTGGTACAAATCTGAGGACAGCATTTGCTTTCTTTTTTCTTTTAAATTTTTTCTAGGCTAGGTCTTGCTCTGCATCCTTGGCTACAGCATATGTTTTTATACAGATGGGATCTCACTCTTCACTCAGGATGCTCTTAGGCTCTGGGATTATGACTCAGTCACTTGCTGAAGCCTCAAAATCCTGGTTTTAGGCGATTCTCCCACCTCGGCCTCCCAGAGTGCTGGGATTATAGGCACGAGCCACCGTCACTGGCCTGGATTTTATTTTTTTTCTAAATATTCAACAACCAAAGTGGAATTCTAGCCACATGAGTCATTCTTTAATCCTTTGATCATCGTCTGCAAATTTGGATTAAAAACAACCACAGGGCATTGCTTGAGTCATAGTGCCTTTATATAAGAGAAAACATGACGGAAACTTTAAAATTATAAAGCAGAAGAATACACATTAGCATGGAAATGAAATACAAATGATGTAAGAATTTTAAAGAAAAGTCTATGCAGCAGTGGTAGCTCTGATGCTGCGTTTATAAAGATAATTCTGTATTGCTGTGTCGGTATTGTTTCCTAGTGTGAATGCATGCATTGTATATTAACACTTGGAAGACCAGCCAGGCACGGTGTCTCATGCCAGTGATCCCAGCACTTTGGGAGGCCGAGGTGGGCGGATCACTTGAGATCAGTAGTTCCAGACCAGCCTGGTCAATGTGGTGAAACCCCGTCTCTACTAAAAATACAAAAAATCAGCTGGGCATGGTGACGCGTGCCTGTAATCCCGGCTACTCAGGAGGCTGAGGCAGGAGAATCACTTGAACTAGTGAGTCAGAGGTTGCAGTGAGTCAAGATTGTACCATTGCACTCCAGCCTGGGCAACAAAAGTGAAACTCCATCTCAACAAAACAAAATAAAATAAAAAGACTCGGAGGACCTGCCTAGTAGACCCTGGGGAGACTCTGTGTGATGTACAAGTCTTTGTGTTCCTTTGTTCTTTTTGGAGACAGAGTCTCGCTCTGTTGCCCAGACTGGAGTGCAATGGCACAATCTCGGCTCACTGCAACCTTTGCCTTCTGAATTCAAGCGATTCTCCTGCCTCAGCCTCCTGAGTAGTTGGGACTACAGGAGCACACCACCACAATCAACTAATTTATATATTTTTAGTAGAGGTCATCTCACCAGCTGGCTTATTTATTTATTGATAAGTAATGGGTCTACTTCTGATAATGGTAATATGATTCACTGATCTCTTCTAAGAAACTGGAATTCAGAGGAAGTAGTCTAGTGCAAGAGGCAGACCCAGGAGATAGACTGAGTCGTGTATTCTACAGATGTCCACATCCTAATCTCCATTTTCTGGACAGAATAATGTCCCCAAATATGTCCATGTCCTAATTCCCATGTGACAGACAGAATAATGGCCCCAGAGATGTCCACGTCTGAATCCTCATATGGGAGACAGAATAATGGCCCCAAAGATGTCCACATCCTAATCCCCATGTGGGAGACAGAATAATGACCCCAAAGATGTCCACATCCTAATCCCCATGTGGGAGACAGAATAATGACCCGAAAGATGTCCACATCCTAATCCCCATATGGGAGACAGAATAATGGCCCCAAAGATGTCCACATCCTAATTCCCATGTGGGAGACAGAATAATGACCCCAAAGATATCCACATCCTAATCCCCATGTGGGAGACAGAATAATGGCCACAAAGATGTCCATGTCCTAATCCCCATGTGGGAGACAGAATAATGGTCCCAAAGATGTCCACATCCTAATCCCCATGTGGGAGACAGAATAATGGCCCCAAAGTTGTCCACATCCTGATCCCCACAGTTTGTGAAGAGGGGACTTCCTTGACAATGGGAGGCTTTAAAAGCGGATCTCAGGGCACAGTGCAGGCTGGCTACGTGGCTGGTTACGTGGCTGTGCTGTGCAGTGATGTTGCCTGGGTTTTTAATGTAACCACCACCCAAACAGTGTACATCGTACCCATTTGGTAATTGGGGACTTTGCAGATTTGCTTAAATTGGAGATCTTGGGATGGGGACATCGTGTACTCTCATCATAAGTAGGAGACAGGAAAATCAGAGCCACAGAAAGAAAAGTCAGAAGCTGAGGTGACACGGCTCCTGTCTTTCAAGATGCAGTAAGAGGCCAGGCACCAACAGGAACAGACCTCGGAGGCTGGGCAAGGCAAGGAAAAGGGTTTTTCCTGGAAGCCTCCAGAAGGAACCGGCCCTGCTGACACCACAGTTTCACCCGTGTGACATCCAGCTTTTGATTTCTAACCTCTAGAACTTTAAGAGGACACACGTGTGCTGTTTTAACCCACCGAGCGTGTGCTGGCTTGTTAGACAGCCACAGGACATGCATGCACACCCTTGACATGAGTCTTGGCTAAGGGCATGGTTTCACTGGTCCTTTGGGGCTGGAGGCGGTGCACTGGAAGAGGAGACCGTTTCTGCAAAGCCTAAAGTGGGCTTGACTGGTTGGATATGGAAAGGCGTAGAGAGTTTTTGTTTCTGATTCAGGTCGTTTGAAGGAATGGTAGTGTCTGTCCAAGAGATGGAGAAATGGGGAAATGCCCCAGTGGGGACTTGGGAAAGGTTGACTTTGAGGGGTCTCTACGTGAATACACCCACAGTGCTACCATGAATGTGCATCTGCAGAAGAGAGGAGAATGGGGATGGAGACTGCAGCTTCAAATATGGAGGCAGGCAGGGAGGTGCAGAATGCACGTACATGGATACAGCTGTGTGCATGGATCAGAGCTGTGTGCGTGGGTAGAGTAAGGCAGGGAGGTGCAGAATGCATGTACATGGATACAGCTGTGTGCATGGATCAGAGCTGTGTGCGTGGGTAGAGTAAGGCAGGGAGGTGCAGAATGCATGTACATGGGTCTACCTGTGTGCATGGATGAGAGCTGTCTGCACGGGTGAAGGCAGGCAGGGAGGTGCAGAATGCATGTACATGGATACAGCTGTGTGCATGGATCAGAGCTGTGTGCATGGGTAGAGTAAGGCAGGGAGGTGCAGAATGCATGTACATGGATACAGCTGTGTGCATGGATCAGAGCTGTGTGCGTGGGTAGAGTAAGGCAGGGAGGTGCAGAATGCATGTACATGGATACAGCTGTGTGCATGGATCAGAGCTGTGTGCGTGGGTAGAGTAAGGCAGGGAGGTGCAGAATGCATGTACATGGATACAGCTGTGTGCATGGATCAGAGCTGTGTGCATGGGTGAAGGCAAGCAGGGAGGTGCAGAATGCATGTACATGGATACAGCTGTGTGCATGGATCAGAGCTGTGTGTGTGGGTAGAGTAAGGTAGGGAGGTGCAGAATGCATGTACATGGGTCTACCTGTGTGCATGGATCAGAGCTGTGTGCATGGGTGGAGGCTGGCAGGGAGGTGCAGAATGCACGTACATGGATACAGCTGTGTGCATGGATCCGAGCTGTGTGCATGGGTGGAGGTAGGCAGGGAGGTGCAGAATGCATGTACATGGATACAGCTGTGTGCATGGATCCGAGCTGTGTGCATGGGTGAAGGCAGGCAGGGAGGTGCAGAATGCATGTACATGGATACTGCTGTGTGCATGGATCAGAGCTGTGTGCATGGGTGAAGGCAGGCAGGGAGGTGCAGAATGCATGTACATGGATACAGCTGTGTGCATGGATCCGAGCTGTGTGCATGGGTAGAGTAAGGCAGGGAGGTGCAGAATGCATGTACATGGATACAGCTGTGTGCATGGATCAGAGCTGTGTGCGTGGGTAGAGTAAGGCAGGGAGGTGCAGAATGCATGTACATGGATACAGCTGTGTGCATGGATCAGAGCTGTGTGCGTGGGTAGAGTAAGGCAGGGAGGTGCAGAATGCATGTACATGGGTCTACCTGTGTGCATGGATGAGAGCTGTCTGCATGGGTGAAGGCAGGCAGGGAGGTGCAGAATGCATGTACATGGATACAGCTGTGTGCATGGATCAGAGCTGTGTGCGTGGGTAGAGTAAGGCAGGGAGGTGCAGAATGCATGTACATGGATACAGCTGTGTGCATGGATCAGAGCTGTGTGCGTGGGTAGAGTAAGGCAGGGAGGTGCAGAATGCATGTACATGGGTCTACCTGTGTGCATGGATGAGAGCTGTCTGCACGGGTGAAGGCAGGCAGGGAGGTGCAGAATGCATGTACATGGATACAGCTGTGTGCATGGATCAGAGCTGTGTGCGTGGGTAGAGTAAGGCAGGGAGGTGCAGAATGCATGTACATGGATACAGCTGTGTGCATGGATCAGAGCTGTGTGCATGGGTGAAGGCAAGCAGGGAGGTGCAGAATGCATGTACATGGATACAGCTGTGTGCATGGATCAGAGCTGTGTGCGTGGGTAGAGTAAGGCAGGGAGGTGCAGAATGCATGTACATGGATACAGCTGTGTGCATGGATCAGAGCTGTGTGCGTGGGTAGAGTAAGGCAGGGAGGTGCAGAATGCATGTACATGGGTCTACCTGTGTGCATGGATGAGAGCTGTCTGCACGGGTGAAGGCAGGCAGGGAGGTGCAGAATGCATGTACATGGATACAGCTGTGTGCATGGATCAGAGCTGTGTGCGTGGGTAGAGTAAGGCAGGGAGGTGCAGAATGCATGTACATGGATACAGCTGTGTGCATGGATCAGAGCTGTGTGCATGGGTGAAGGCAAGCAGGGAGGTGCAGAATGCATGTACATGGATACAGCTGTGTGCATGGATCAGAGCTGTGTGCGTGGGTAGAGTAAGGCAGGGAGGTGCAGAATGCATGTACATGGATACAGCTGTGTGCATGGATCAGAGCTGTGTGTGTGGGTAGAGTAAGGCAGGGAGGTGCAGAATGCATGTACATGGGTCTACCTGTGTGCATGGATCAGAGCTGTGTGCATGGGTGGAGGCTGGCAGGGAGGTGCAGAATGCACGTACATGGATACAGCTGTGTGCATGGATCCGAGCTGTGTGCATGGGTGGAGGTAGGCAGGGAGGTGCAGAATGCATGTACATGGATACAGCTGTGTGCATGGATCAGAGCTGTGTGCATGGGTGAAGGCAGGCAGGGAGGTGCAGAATGCATGTACATGGATACTGCTGTGTGCATGGATCAGAGCTGTGTGCATGGGTGAAGGCAGGCAGGGAGGTGCAGAATGCATGTACATGGATACAGCTGTGTGCATGGATCCGAGCTGTGTGCATGGGTGAAGGCAGGCAGGGAGGTGCAGAATGCATGTTCATGGATACAGCTGTGTGCGTGGATCCGAGCTGTGTGCATGGGTGAAGGCAGGCAGGGAGGTGCAGAATGCATGTACATGGATACTGCTGTGTGCATGGATCCAAGCTGTGTGCATGGGTGAAGGCAGGCAGGGAGGTTCAGAATGCATGTACATGGATACAGCTGTGTGCATGGATCCAAGCTGTGTGCATGGGTGAAGGCAGGCAGGGAGGTGCAGAATGCATGTACATGGATACTGCTGTGTGCGTGGGTGGAGGCAGGAAGAGAGGTGCTGAATGCATGTGCATGGGTCTAGCTGTGTGCATGGATCAGAGCTGTGTGCATGGGTGGAGGCAGGGAGGGGGGTGCTGAATGCATGTGCATGGGTCTAGCTGTGTGCATGGATCAGAGCTGTGTGCATGGGTGGAGGCAGGGAGGGGGGTGCTGAATGCATGTGCATGGGTCTAGCTGTGTGCATGGATCAGCGCTGTGTGCATGGGTGGAGGCAGGGAGGCGGGTGCTGAATGCATGCTCATGGAGACAGCCGTGTGCATGGATCAGTGCTCATGATACGAAAGCAGAGAAAGAAGGGTGATGGTGAGAATAGGGTCCCTGAAGAACCAGGATGTGGGGACCTCTTGCAGCTACTGCGCTCTCCGCTCCTTCCCCGCCATGCCTCTCGTTTTTCTAATTTGTTAATTCTGGGTAATAATATCATGTAAGATTGTTGTGAGCTTTGCTGACAGAATCTATGGAAAGCATTTGCACGGCTGTGAAGCCGTATGTAATTATGTAATTAGGAGCCATTCATTCCTCTCTGACTACGTTGCTTCTGGCTGGATTTCATGTGCTTGAAACTCCATCCTCTGTGCTGTTTTCCATGTGTTTCACCTTGTTTCTTTCCTGCACTTGTGCCTGACCATCCGCCCACTGCCCATGCCTGTGGGAAGGTCCAAGGCAGCACGGATTATTTCCAAGAGTGTCTTCCTTTGCCCCAAGAGCGGGCAGTATGTGGGTGAGCATTTAACAAACATTCACCGGACTGAGAGAAGTTGAAATGGTTCCTGTAGCTTGCAGTTCAACAGTCTGTAGGACTGAACAGTGGCTTCATGCAGATTTTACTACATTTCTGCACCATCTCCCCGGACCTCCAGCGGGCATCTGGCACTTCAAAGATTCCCTTTCCTTTCAACACATGCACACCTGTGTTTATTGTGACACCATTCACAATAGCAAAGGCCTGGAACCAACCCCAATGCCCATCAATGATAGATTGGATAAAGAAAATGTGGCACATACACACCAGGGAATACTATGCAGCCATAAAAAAGGATGAGTTGGTGTTCTTTGCAGGAACATGGATGAAGCTGGAAGCCATCATTCTCAGCAAACGGACACAGGAACAGAAATCCAAACACCACATGTTCTCACTGATAAGTGGGAGTTGAACAGTGAGAACACATGGACACGGGGAGGGGCACATCACATACTGGAGCCTGGGGGCTGGAGGGTAGGGGGATAGGGGAGGGAGAGCAGGGGTGGGGGGATTGGGGAGGGCTAACATTAGGAGAAATACCTAATGTAGCTGATGTGGGGATGGATGCAGAAAACCACCATGGCACATGTATACCTGTGTAACAAACCTGCACAATCTGCACATGGACCCCAGAACTTAAAGTATAATAAATAATTTTTTTAAAAAAGGGAACTCACTGCATTCTTGGAACTGAGCTCACCTTCTGTCCTCTTGCCAGTCTCTTAGGATTGTCATTTTTTTTAAAAGCTGTAGCTAGAACAGGATGTGTTATTTAAGCCACGGGGAGCATGATTTACACGACCGTGTTGTTTATTCACAAGGCAACTTTCATTTCCCTGCAGAAGCCCCCACCAGGGAAGCGCACTCCATCATTCTGAGAACGTGTGGGAGACAGCGTCTGTCACTCACAGCTGCGGAGGGGCGGGTCATTAAATTCTGCCGGGAACCGGCAGCTCCTTGGTCTAGACAAGAGCTTGACCGGATAGGGAGTGTTTAGTCTTTGTGGGTGGCCTCTAGTCTCTTTGACATATTTCTTTCTTTTTCTAAAAAAATTTATTTATTATACTTTTAAGTTCTGGGGCAGATGTGCAGAGCGTGCAGGATTGTTACATAGGTCTACACGTGCCATGGTGGTTTGCTGCCTCCATCCCCCCTTCATCTACATTAGGTATTTCTCCTAATGCTCTCCCTCCCCAATCCCCTCACCCCCTGCTATCCCTCATCTAGCCCCCCACCCCCCAACAGGCCCCGGTGTGTGATGCTCCCCTCCCTATGTCCATGTGTTCTAATTGTTCAACGCCCACTCATGAGTGAGAACATGCGGAGTTTTCTTTGTGTTCTTGTGTCCGTTTGCTGAGAATGATGGTTTCCAGCTTCATCCATGTCCCTGCAAAGGACATGAACTCAGCCCTTTTTATGGCTGCATAGTATTCCATGGTGTCTGTGTGCCACATTTTCTTTGTCCAGCCTATGATCAGTGGGCATTTGGCTTGGTTCCAAGTCTTTGCTATTGTAAACAATGCTACAGTAAGCATACATGTGCATGTGTCTTTATAATAGGATGATTTATAACCCTTTGTGTATATACCCAGTTATGGGATTGCTGGGTCAAATGGTATTTCTAGTTCCAGATCCTAGATCCTTGAGGAATCTTTTTTTGT